TCCATTCACCTTCAAAGTCACATCACACAAAAATTCGCACCTCACACAAAACGTGCCTCACATCTATGGCTGTTGTGTATTGTATTTTCTACTTGACATCGCAAAATAAATTTTAATAAAATTTAAATGACTGGAAATGATATATAATGTAAAATGTTCACGATTCATAAATTTTCCTATCTGTAGCCTATTTTTTCACCTGTTAGTTGTAATATATTTCACAAACCAGGGATCTTCCTTTTTTCTGTCGCATTTTTGAAAATCAGCCTATTTGCATACGTAATTTCCAGAATGAATAAGAAAAGTTGAGGCGCAACTAATTTCTAGTAGGAAAACCTACATAATGTCACAAAAAACCTACATAATGTAAAAAAAAACCGACATTGTCACTTTGCCAGATACGTAATCCCCCGTTCGACGAGTTTGTCAAAAATACCTGTCATACTCAACATCTCTAGTAGATACAAAAATAGGCCCACGATTACCGTTCATGCCTCCTTTTCCTACACCATATCCATTCCATCAATCTGACATGTCGAACGGAGGCACGTGCTTTTTGCCCAAAGTCTCAGATAAGCTCACTCAACTTTCATGTCACTCAGTTTCATGCACAGCCCTTTTACTGTTTTTATCTTAACCCACTTCATGTGCCCGATAGAGGATTTGAATTGGATTTCACTTGTCGTATATAAGGATGAGACAGAAACGTCCTTTTAACATTATGCAGCTTTGTGAGCAGTAGAGAATATTTATGTACGTATAAAATTTCACAAACAGAAATGTTGAAGCAGTATGACATGCACCGCGTATATTTCCCACGCTATTTGTCGGAGAGGTACTATCATTGTGAAATATTTCCAAATTGATATTGTTTTTCCGATGTTATACAGGGTGTTTTTAAAGTTGAGTTATTTATTTTAACAGCTTGTAGAACTCGTCAAAAGAAGTTGTTATACCAAAAATCACCTATATAAAAGATGCATAATAAGAGAGTTAGCTTACATTATTTCTAATAAGCATAAGGCAGCTCTGTCAGTTATCTGCCTCTTCATCGTGACAACATACGTCAAACCGTGGTTGCAATTCACTTTAGCGGTAAGATCACCTAATTAATGAAGGCTTAAGAAAGAATTGACAAAATCAGCTTTACAAAAGTTCTGCCAACAATTATGGTATAAGATTAGTCACCAAAGAATCATAGGTAGGCTTCAGCATTTTGGTTTTAGCAATCATTTATTAGATTTCATTTCTTCTTACTTGCATGACAGAAATCAGTACGTTTCTTACAATGGTTTCAAATCTTCACCTTACTCGGCCTCATCCGGTGTACCGCAGGGATCAAATTTAGACCCTCTTCTCTTTCTTTATTTTATCAATGACCTCCCTAACTGCTTAACCTGTCCTTCTCTGTTGTTTGCCAATGATTTAAAAATATAAGCTCAGATTAATAGCATTGATGACTGTCTAATCTTGATAGCTGACCTGAATCATGTATTTGAATGGTGTTCAACTAATAAATTATTTTTGAATGGTAGTAAATGCGAAACCTGTTATTTTACCAGGAAAACGAATCCAATAGTTTTTGATTACACACTGGACTGAAAGGTGTCAGTTTGATGCGTTGTTCAGTAAGAGATCTAGGTGTGTTGTTTGATGTTAAATTAGAATTTTCAGGTCATATTAGTACATCATCCGCTATAAAAAGTCTCGTTTTTTATGAGAAACTGTAAATCGTTTGGTAGTGAAACGGCACTGAAGGCTTCATACTGCACCTTGGTGCGTTCTAAGCTGGAATATGCATCTAGTGTATGGAATCCATATTACCAAATCTATACTAATGGAATTAAAAGTGTACAGAGGAGATTTCTTAAATACTTGACTTTGAATTAGATGGTGTTTATCCCAATCGTGGGACTCCCCAATCAGCGATGTTGCTCAGATTTGAAATGCATCCTCTTGAGCTGTGAAGAGTTTGTAATAGTTTAAAATTCCTTTACAAACCCATATACAGTGAGTGATGTTGATTCTTCAGCTTTATTAGCTAAAATTGATTTTCATGTACCATCCCGCATTTAGCGAAGATTTCTCGCTTTTTACTTAAAAACACCAAATTCTAATGTTATGATTAAGTCACCCGTGTAAGTCAAAGATATATTAGCTGTATTCAGCGACTTCTATGATTCAATTGATAACATTTAAGACAAGTAGGTGAGTAGGAATTTGTTGTTTCATTTTTTCTTTCAGAAACTGGTCGAGCTATGATTGTAGTTAAAAATACTGTAACGTCAAATGATATTCAATTACATTGTCCTTTAAGTGGATGTATCTGTTGGGCAATAAATATATTATTATTATTATTAGTATTATTATTTGACAGATGAAGTCTCTGCGCCGGGCCGCGAGTTCGAATCTCGCCTTCGCCATGGATGTTGTGACGACGTGTGTTTGTCCACAATTAGAGAAATATAAGTAACACACATCTGTGGCAAATGGATAACTTCCAATGCCAATTATATGTTAAAAAATAAAGTCTCTGCCTTCTCTCTGTTTGACGACGACGTGGATGAGGACACTAAAGAAAAAACGGTACATCCCATCGAAAGAAGAACTTTCTGGGCCAATTTATGGTAAGTCTGACATATTAATTTTCCTTTTTCTTATTTTACTGCTTCGATATAATATGCTAACTGTTAAAATAAGCCAACATGGCCACATAATGATTCTTATCAACACGCTAAGAATAAGATGCAAACACTGAGAGCAGTTAACGATATTGTAGAAAGAGCAGTCAAGTTAATCCAAGACTCATGGATTAATCACTGCTGATGAGGAACAAAAATAATTTTTATTGCGTTGCATACAAAAACACAGGCTGGTTTGAAATCCATACATTCTTTCCCAATTAACATTCAAATCCAAAGTTTGACCGAAAGTTGTGCAAGGGCTATCGCTCCCCAGTCGCATTAATATTTGTTTTCTAAGTTGCTAGAATCAAATGGACAAAAATAGAGACTATGCGTACCTCAATTTGAACAAAAATGTGTTTGTCCTCAAAGGCTGGGATACCCTAACCCTAAAGTACTATGTCTCTTCTGACCATTTTTGGGCGTAGTCAAAAAAAATGTTGTAAGTTCCAATTTTCTGATAATAGTAATGCTTTACCTCTCAACCTAAGGTATGTAATGTACTATCGTAGAATTTACAAGACAGCTATGAAATCGATTATTTTCATTGTTGACATTGCCCAACTACGGAAACAATCGATATACAGGTATGTGTGTAGACCAGTTATTGTAGATTCACGAAAACTTAATCCTCTACAGGGTGTTCCTTAATGAGATGCTAATGTTTAACGAGGTGATTCTTCTTATTTTAAGGCAAATCATACGAATATATGTTCTAAATGTCTCAAGCAAGATACCGGGCGATCAAATTTCAGAAAAAATATGTATTTTATTTTAATTGTGACACTATTCTAGATATCTTTATGAAACTTGGTAAACATCTTCTATGCATCAATGCGTATCTTTGCATACAAACAATTTTATTATTTTCACCAGTGGCGTCCATTGTTTGCATTGAATATTTTTAGAGAAAAAATGGTACTCCACTGCTCTTCAATTAGAAACTATTTTTGAGATCTTTACTTCTGAACAAATTTGATCTCTTGATTTTCTTTCGACTGACGCATGATTTTCTCTTAAACAGATAAAAATCGTTTTGTTTCAGGGTCAAATCACTAAAAATCTGATGCAGAGACTGCTGTGCCGAAATCGCTTTTCTTTCTCTCTTAAGTTATTGAGTTCGTAAATATCAATAACACATTTGGTCTCTGAATTACTCAACGATTTCCGCGCAGGAGCACGCCATGTAAGAATCTCGATGTTGTTTTGTTTTGTACCTCAACATGATTAAAATAAAGACTTTGTTGATCGGTTTATACGTTTCAACATCGTCTTAATAAAATACTTCAATATTGCAGAAAAAAAAAAGCATTTTGAAAAATCTATGAGTTAGATGGTTTTTGAAATGACCGATTCAATTAAAAATGACAATATATTGTATTCTGAAACAGGAGCTCAAATACCGGGGCATCGCGGCTGGTCTAAGGGCTTATGAATCCGACTTTTGGTTAGTAGAAGTAGGAAAAGCCTCCGCTTGTAGATTGTTCCACTATCTCGGCACCCTCGGGACAAAGAAGCAATTGTTCTCGATCTACGAAGCTCCATACGATTAGGATGGGAGGCTGAGGTCAGGCGGGTCTGTCTGACAGGCGCATTGCGTGGCGGCATCATGGAGGAGAGCTCTGAGGAGCAAAGTCCGTTGACGTAGCCGTACGACAGAGAAAGGGTCCCGAGACTATCCGTTAGAGAAGAGTCATCGATTAGTCGGATTGCTCTCTTTGAACAGCATCTAGTATGGATAATCTGGACGGAGCTGCAGCACCCCAAACATGTCAGCAGCACTTGAGGTAAAGTCGTATGTAAGCCTTGTGAGGAGGATGTTATGTGGAGTAAATTACTTCTTAGCCCTAAACAGATATCCTAGATTTTTACTAGCAGCTGCCTCGATTGATGAGATATGTTCGTGCTAGATCAAGGCCTAGGTAATCAAGTCAAAATGAACGACACTTTGGTATATGTTTCTATTTGGCGGTCAGTAAAATATGGAGATTGATCAGCGGGACAACCGCGACCTAAGCTTCAGATGTTACATTCGTTGATTTACGCTGTTTATGCAATGGACATTTATAACGATTATACCCAAAAAGCAAGAAAGCATTTTAAGAAAGAATGTACGAAAAACGTGGTTTTTGAAATGAACAATTCATATATTCATACGAATTGTTCACCTTGGGCTAGCACACTACTACAGTTACCAGACTATACCTCTGTAAAACTGCCCTAGCCTGATACACTTTGGTACACATAAAAATTTACCCTATTTGCTAACCAATTTATCGTCCCCAAAGCCTTGTGTCATTCTGAAAGTTTGCCGTGATGTCCTTATTCAAAATCAGAGAGTTGTGGACAACTCACTGTGAGAGTGAAGATGAAGTGTTTGATCAGAACTCGATGATTGTCACTAAACTGGACAACACTGAGTTTTTAGTGACCGGAAGTCATAGTGGAGTGTTGAGAATATTCAAGCCTTTTAACGGTTCGGATGAGAGTGGATTTTCAGCAGCTGATTTGCTAGCGGAGAAGAAATATGAGCAGCCGATTTTGCAAGTAGGAAGTGGACAACTAGTTTCGTAAGTTGTAACAATAGTAAATATAAGGAGAAATTGTGGAAGTACCATAACATTAATAATTTGACAAATGAAAGCATAGCACATCAGTTATCCGTAAATCCAACCAACTCAATTGTTTTATTATTCGGAAAACACAAAAGAGCGTGGCAGATTTATTCCATATTTCAATTAATAATAATGTTATTCCTCATACATCCGCTATTAGGAATTTAGGCTTGATTATGGATAGTGACCTGAGGTTTTCAAAGCATGTTGATAAGTGCTTTGGCTGTGCTTATGGTCGGCTTAAAATGCTGTTTCCATATTGTCATATCTTTTCTACCGAACTTAAGGCTTTGCTTTGTGACACGCTTGTTCTGTCATTATTCAATTATTGCGACTCAGTTTATGAGCCTTGTAAAACAAGGTATGATGTTGATCGTATATAGCGTGTCCAAAACTCTTGCCTTAGGTTTATTTTTGGAGTGAAAAAATTTGAACATATTTCTTATAAGTTAACTGTAACAGGATGGCTAAATATGGAAGCTAGGAGAAATCTGCAGAAAATTCTGCAGTTTTGTTTCATAAAACTATTCTATATAAAACTCCGCCTTATTTATATAATAAGATTACACTTAGAAGCGATGTTCACAATATCAATGATCGGTATTGGAAGCTGATTTCCCAACCACGTCATCGTACATCTATGTTTAACAGATGTTTTTCTCATTTTATCTACCACTTGTATAATCACGTCCCCACAAACCTTAAGTCTATGTCTGTGTCAGCTTTTAAAAGAAGTTACAGAAAATTTCTATTAGATGAATTGTAGTGTTTACTTTATATTGTTCCTTTCCTTTTTATATTTTAAATGTTTTTTTTTTGTTAAATCTGCTTTGATCAGCTCGTCTGTTTACTAGTCCCTTTTGCAGGGAATTCATGTTGTTTCTTCATTTTTAATTTTTTTCTTTTTGTATTTTTTTTCTCTGCAAATAAACGCTATTATTATTACTATTATTATTATTATATTAATGGGCCAAGATATTTCGCCAACAATATCCGCTTAGATAACAAACAAACAAAGATCGTGAATCGATCTCGTAATTCGTGAAATTTGCGTGGATGCATCGTCAGCCGTTCCCACAATTGGAGAAACAAGTGGATAAAGGTGTAACATTTTCTAAAAATTTTATTGCACTAAACTGGTTTTAAGGAGTGCTTCTTCCATTCTGTAATTACTTTGTTGCAAATACAGTATAATAACACCTTTATGGATTCCTTGATTTCATAGAAAGACGGGTATTTCTAGATTTCTACTATACACTGTCAGTGTCAGCGCTCTCGTTTTGTGAGGCTATGTTTTCTTTTTCAATTGTAGGAAAATTCAGGCTGATATAACAAATGATATAAATCAAAACCATGAGCAATTCGATGCAAACAGATATTTGTAACATAACCTCAAAATAAGGCGCCGATACGGAACAGTTGAAAACTATGAAAATCAAGGAGGCCATAAAGGTATCCTACAATGTATTGTACGAAAGAAATTTCCTTGCGGCACTGTCCAGTAGAAAAACATATATTCTTGAATACAATACCTCGTAATCACCATGATGATTGTGTGTAGTCGTAGTAGATATTTATTTACTCCAGGATACAACAATAACAATATAGAATGGATGAATAAATATGTTGAAATGTGATTTTCCAAAAAAACACAAGAAAATAAAAGTAAAATAGGCTTGAAGAAAAACTATATCAAAACGGTGTATGTGTAAAAGACGACCAGTTTTCAATGTCAATATTAGATATGAGTTCAGTAATATAGTGTCAACCTATTCAGCGAAGCCGTTGTCACGCATTTTTTTGAATCATTGGGCATTTAGAAGTAGTTTTATGTCTTGAGGTACGAGGTTATATACTTTGGGAGACAAATATATAGAAAATCGTTTTATTTTGGTTTTATGAGATCTAGGAACAGTTTTTGCATGTAATTTGCATCGATTATCACAGTAGTGTGTGCAAGAAATAAAGTTTTTTTGATATCAAATAATTTCTTTTCATTGAATAAATCACTTTTTGAATATGTATAATTTTGATTTTTCGAAAATAGTTTTAGTTCTCTCTAAAACTACGCTAATAGGCTATGCAATCAAAAACGGTATGATACGTATACAATTTTCTGTTAATACGCGTGTGAAGAATTCAATTTTGTTTGTGATAAATCTTACTTTTTTCAACATTACGAGTATTAACTCTGCAAAATTCGACATTGATATTGTCTTCTGTTCAGTGATCTCTTATACACCACTGCCAGCATCATCGACATTATCAACATGATTTGAACCTGGCAACATTAAAACTATAGAGAAGTAGGCGTTTCCAATCAACCACAAATTATACAGCTGATAAAGTTCCTAAGTTTTGTGACAACTTTGTAGTTTTTCATACGAAAGCGAGCCTGGAAATCATCTGTGTTGTTGATCTAAAATTTTCATGGGAATCAAATTATAAAACTATTTACAATTAGTTAACATATAGGATGTAACATGAGCGTCAAACTGCAGTATTAACATTTCTATTCAGACTAACATTCTGAATTTTTTGAGATTATAGTGAAAAGCAAGGTGGAAGCTTTCATTAGGCTATTCGAATAATGGAAGAACGTTCACAAAGGAGGTTGGACATACGTATGCTGGCCGATTACTACTGAAATCTTCACCAGGAACAGAAAAAAGGCGCCGCATTTTAGAAAATGTTATAAAAGATATTTTGTCCTGAACCAAAGTAACTGTTTAAACCAGAGCTGTTTGAAAATATGCGGTTTTCGTAACCATCATTCTTAAAATAAACGAAAACAAATAAAAACACTGTAACATGTACTAAGTGACATATAAATCCGAAGACCCAGTTTAAATGGTTTTATTTTAATAAAAGTTGGTGAATGTATTTATCTTACTGTAAATAACATGTGAAAAAATTTTCAGCCTTATCAGTTGGACATTCCGGTTTTTATACTGCCTTTTTTTTTAATTCACTAACGCTCTAAAAATGAATATTTCAGCCGCAGTAAAGAATCAACGCTGGCGGATTTTGGTTCTTGACATGCTTTACGATCGGTTACGATGCCTAGAGTACGGAGACCTGTACGATTTCGTCAACTTAGTGAGTTTGATAGGGGCCGTATAGTGGTACTTCGGGAAGCTGGACCTTCTTTTCGGGCAATTGCAGTTAGAGTGCAAAGAAGTGTAGACACTGTGGTTAGGTGTTGTCAGGCATGGCTTCGAGAAGGCCGTACGCAAAGAGCAAGGGGCACTGGACGCCGCCGTAGAACAACAGACCGTGAAGATCGCCGCCTAAGATTATTGGCCTTAAGGGACCGTTTCTCCACTACCAGGTCCATTGCAAATGAATGGTTTGCAGAACACGGAAGACCTATTGGCATGCGAAGTGTTTACCGACGAATGAGAAGTTTTGGCTTGTTTTCATACCGGCCACACTGGGTCCTCCCTTTAACTCGAGAACACCGACGTAATCGCCTTGAGTGGTGTAGACAACGGTCACTCTGGGATCAGGAATGGAACAGTATTGTCTTTGGTGACGAGTCTCGATTTTGTTTAGGCATGCACGATGGTCGTGCCAGGATTAGAAGGCGACGTGGTGAAAGGAGGAATCCACAGTTTTTTGTTGAAAAACATGTTCATCACACTGTTGGAGTTATGGTTTGGGGTGCTATAGCTTATGGTTCCAGATCACCTTTATTCTTCATCAGAGGTAACATGAACGCGCAGCGTTATATCCACGAAGTTCTAGAACCCCATCTTTTACCCTATCTTGACACCCTGGCAGATCCAACAAGATAATGCCCGACCACATGTTGCAAGAGTCACAATAGACTTCTTTCAACATAATGATGTCACATTGTTTTACCTTGGCCACCAAGATCTCCCGACTTATCCCCAATTGAGCACGTGTGGGATATGATGGGTAGGAGATTGCTCAATTTGCAACGTCCTCCTCAGACTCTAGAAGCACTTCGAGAGGAGTTGGTGGTTGCCTGGAATGAGATACCACAGGAGGACATTGACCACCTGATCAGAAGCATGCCTAGGATTTATATGTCACTTAGTATATTTTTATGGAAAATGACTGTAATTACTGTACTAACGATTTTCAAACCTAACCACATAACTGCAACTTTAGGGCCGTATCATCAGTCGTTCCTACAATTGTAGGAATGCGTAGCACATCAGGGTGCATCCAGACATTATTAAAGGTCAAAGGGCTTTAAAGCAGTGTAATCATTTTGAAATTTTTATCATTTACTTATTATGCTTCATTGAGTACTTATACAAAGTTTTATTAAAATAAAAGCATTTAAACTGGGTGTTCGGATTTATATGTCACTTAGTATACATCATTGCTAACCAGTGCCGTCAAAGAATGGATCATCTTATGTTTCTAAGAAGGTTAAAACCAATCTTTTATGGGGGTGATAGTACACTCCATTATTAAAGCTCAATAAGCCACAAATAACTAAGTAAGATGTCCAACCATTTTTAAATTTTGTGAAGCCACCGCTTGTTTAACAATTAAGAGAAACTCCTTACTCCTCTAATTTTTCGCATTTATTTTGATGAATTGTCTTCCTATCCAAATAGTTTCCAAGATCGAAATATGGTGTGTATTTGATAAAACATATTTTTTGTTCTCTGAATTGTTCCATTTTGCAATGCCTCGTTTACAGTTTGATTTAAACTTACTGAAAAAAATTCGTTCCTTTGTACAGTGTCTGTCGTGTGAAGCGACTCATATCTTTTTCTCAACGCCACGGGATATCAAAACAAGCAGAATCCCATTGAAATTGCGGAAAACTATAAAACACATTTTTCGTAAAATAGAGCCCTTGATAAAGACAACATTATTAATTCACCCAATCATAAAATGTGAGCCGATTTTTTCGCTTATAGCAGTCAGTTTATCAGAAGTGATTCGATACCACAATACCTTGTAGCGTATCTGAAG